AGTTCATGCATCGTGGCGGCAAGCGCGGTTCCGGTACCTGACCAGTCAAGATATCTGAGACGCATCAGACGAATTCGGGGGTGCGCGTAATTAATCATTGTCGTTCTAAGGTCGAATTTTCAAACTCTCTCTTTGAAATTTGTGCACTTTCGACTCGAACAAATTCGGAGAGGCGCCTCGGATTTACACTTGTTCCCACTTTCTGAGCTGAGGTTCAACTGCAAGAGCCTTGATTCAAATTGGTTTTCCTCAAGACTTATATAGTCTCAGAAATGCTCCCGAATCCAAAGTCATCAACCATTCGAAAGTCAAAGGTCGCACAATTGAATCCTGATCCGATAATTGGTAATTTTGGTCACTAATTAGCACGTCAATTTGAGTTTGAATGCGAGCCCTACCAAACCCAACATCCGGAGCTCCACGTCAGAAAAAGGGGCAGGCGCAGCTGCCCCTCACGCAAGAGGCACTCCATGCGCCGCCCTCTATCTGCGTCGTGCGGATCGCCCACGATGCATCCCAGCGCGTCACGGCAAGAGTGCGTACACACGCTAGGCGCATCCAGCTTGCCTTGTGACTCTTGACTACTACCAGACTACAGTGTATCTTGCCGGAGCTTGGGACACGATCACCGATATTGGTACAGACCATCGATGGGCTTCGCGATCGCGCAATCCGGATCGAGCGAGCGTGGGCCGACGGTTCGAGCTGAGCCAGTCCTGGCGGGCTGTACGTGTAAGCGAGGGATGAAACCACATACGTCAGAGCGCGGGCAGGGATGCATCGCAGATGCAACAAAATCGAGGGTCCTTTCCGTGGCTCATCCAAGATCGTGAAGGGGGCTTGATCCTGAGTTTGAAAAGTCGTGAGTCAAAAGACGCCTAGCGAGCCCTCTTCGACGGAAGACCGAGGGTCTGGATGCAGATGGTGAAGGCGCGGAACTTGCCTTAGCGTGGCTAGCAGCTAGCTCATCAGTAGTTGCATGCAGCAGCAGGTCCCATCGGCGTCTATTCTTCGCTGTGGCCGGCTGTGCTTCGCTTCACACGCGGCATCACGCCCAGTCAGGCGAATAATAGTTTGTGATGAGTGATGACGTTGCTTGGCCTGAGAACTTGCGGCGTTAGACGCCAGACTTTTGAACATTCTTGAAATCTTGACTACAATCCTCATTTAACATTCGAGATGGAGATGATTTCCTCTCGATTCTTGCTTTGGAGCCTGGAGCCGCAGGCGTTTGGAGGTCTGCAATC